AATTGGACCATAATGAGACTTATTTATGGAAAACCTTGGTCCAAGTGATAAGATGTATTTTATGTTATTCGGTATGTTTAGTGAAGTCAAATTCTTTATCCAATTTTCATTAATGTTACATTCGTTTGTTCTACCATGTTTCTTTGTTAAGAGTTTTTCTAGTTTATTTTTTTGTTTTGCTTTAATCTTGTTGAAAACAGTTTCATATTTTTGTTCTTGTTGTTCATAAAACACTTTTATTTTATTTTGATGGCATGTTTTTTGTTGTAAAGATATTTTAACATTATTAATGTCCTTGTTAATTTCATTCAGTTTGGAACAACAATCGCTCAGTATTATATTTAAACATTGCATATAGAATACATCCAGGATTTTCAAATATTTTATTTGATTCTGTCCGTTCCCAAAATTAAATTCCCTTCTTCTCACCTGTATAAATTTTGGTGTGACGGCAAGGTTCTTGCATCTGGTCAGAAAGTTTTTCCTACCCTTTATATTCAAAATCTATTATGGCAGTTTCAATTCTAAGGGGGTTCTGTGATACCCACTTATGCAAAATCTGACGAAATCAGTCGTCCGATTTCGGACGAACGCAGTTCGCACGAAACCGCATCCAAAGGACAACCGGCCTTAGATATTTTCGATTAAGTACCCCAAAGTTGTTGGGTAAATGTTTATTATAAATTAACAACTTTATAATTATTTATTTTTCAAAATTGAATTTTTGTTTCTTTCACTTCAACTTACTACAATGTAAAGTAGCTTATTCAATGATTACAATAACAAAATTTGTAGGTCGAAAAAAGATAATTATCTAAAAATAGATAAAAAATATATGTCAAAATCGTTTAATTTTACCGCAATCGACCCTAAGTGACAGCTGTAAGCATTCGGTAATGCTTTACGGTACGATCTGCTGTGGCACGCGCACATGCCTGCACGCAGGGTACGCGCAGTCAAACATTGTATACTGGTCAGCCATGTTGCCGAACTGCCACCAAAGTAGAAAATTTCAATGAAAACAAACAAGTAATTCATTCAAGGTTGAAAACTTAGCAGAATTACGTCCATACAGGTAATAGTAGACGAAACTGATAAGCTCATATTGTGCGCGTAATTTAGCCGGGACCCAGCTGATTGCAGCCAGCCGTTTGAAATATCAAATTAATTGTGTATGCATGCAAAAAAATAAAGTATTTTCAGCTTTGGTTTCTCTATGGATTTCTATAAACGCGTGTGAGTTCTTAATCAGTTAATTGGAATTATCATGAGAATCTGAAAAGTAGTGAAAACTCTGGGTATTACTAATTACTATTTATTTTATATTAAAAAAAACTTTAAAATTCTCAAATTCTTCAATCTTCAAATTGATTCTGTTTGAATCAGCCCTGTGCTGTATCACTCACGTTAACTTTAACGTGCGTGTTATCCGTCAAACACGTTATGTGGCTCCAACTGGTGTGTTGTATCAGTAAAACCTTTATATTATAACAGGCGCACGCTATGGACGAACGTTATATTAAGAAATAGCGCTTCAGAATAACAGCATCAAATCACATGCCGCTATCGAACTTAACGTGCGTCCCTCGAAGTTAAGGAAGCGTCCCTCGAAGCTCGGAGGAATAAATTAAACAATT